AGCTCATTGACAGTCTCAACACGATTGAAAAGAAGACGTTAGCAGGTACTAAAATTATATGATTTTATAACGAATACAAAATAATAATAATAATAATAAATAACTGTCGTTGAATTCGTTTAAAATGTGTAAACAATATACGTATGTCGTATACGATTCTTGACCGATGAACATAATATTCAATAGCGTCCACCTCAAAAATCGAAAAAGAGAACAATGTATCATTTTTTAAATTTAATTAAACCGTTAACTATATACATTTATAACACAGATACGGAAAATCCAGAGAGAGTCATGTCCACCTTGTCAGGAGGGTTCAATGGACGCGCGTGATAACATTATATTTTGGGTATGGGGTAAGATCTTTCAGCATACGCCCGATAAGGAAACAAATCATCGAACATAACCTCGAAGATAGCAAATTTTGCTTCGGCCTCCTTTATTCGCGAGCTCATGTCGGAGCTTAATCGAAAATAACCTCCTATTTGTTATGCAAATCTTTTTACTTCGGAACAAGTGAAAAATGTTACGTCCGAAGATTTTTGCCCTTTTTTTTGACATGGGGGAAGGAGAATACTGTCCAAATCCTTATACTTTGTACTGCGTACCGAACGGTATCATCACTTCATTTCGAATTAATGTTACGTTCTTTTACACAATCAATTATGATCTGCAATAATCACAATCGCGTAATATGATTAAATTGCAGAAATTGCGGATTATTGATGGTTCGGTATATTATTATTATTATTTTTTTTTTTCACAATTCCCGTTTAAACTCGAAAACCTAAATTTGGATATTCCGCATAATGAATTATAGAAGTAAATGAAGTGCGCTGCACATGCGGTCTTGCATAAATATTGTTAACCCACTCGATAAGCCCGCGCGATATTATTTCCCTCCGAGCTATAAACATAATATTTGATCAACTCTTGTACAGTTTTACCGCCATTATATATACACACACATTTATTCTATTATACATAATTCATTTGGACAATGTCCCACGAGTGTTAACTAATTTAAAGTAGTGTGTACCATACTCACGGATAATGGAGTTTCGGTCGGCTTTCCGCTTTGAATTTAGTAAAACTCGCTCTCCGGGTGTGTATAACGCGTGGTACTGCGTACAGCAAACCGGCTCTGCTCACAGAATAAATAAATCTATAATAACGTGATTCGGTTTTTATATAATTCGAAAACCGTGACGCCGCAAGATTGGAAGATTCCCAATCGCGATATTATTGTATAATAGGTACTTATGCGGTGTGTTTCACTAAAAAGGTGACGCGAAATTTTTAAGCCGCGGACGAACTTTGTAATATTGTGCCACGGCGTCAGGCAAAGATATCAGAGTTAATTTAAAAAATTAACCCAATTAATTGAATAAACAAAAAAGCCCTCATTTAAAAGTTACTTAATAATAATAAATGAACTAGTTTAGCAAAAAGTTAAAATTCAAAAATATGTTAACTTAACTCAATTAAATAGCCGTTTATTTTTTCTACAGAGAATCAACATTAAAAGTGTTCAATATAAAGTATTAGGATAGTCCTTATTTTTAGACTTTTTGAAATTATGAGCCAGGTACCCGTTAATATTGTAAGTACCACAGAAAAAAATTAAGCCAAAATTTCATTATGATTACACACCTCCTTCAAATCTCTTAAGATGGTTGAAAAATCACCAAAGGTAGTTTTATGATTTTTCGAAATTAGGTTAAAAAATAAAGCATTCGGCGTAAAATTTTTAAGAACCTTTATTATGAAAATCAGAATTTCCAATAAAAAATATCTTTTTATTCATTCTCAAAAATTAATTAATTTCAGGAAAAAATTCAAAATTTCATAAAAAAAATTGTTAATAGCTATTTAAATATTCTTGTTATAATGTTGAAAATACAGTAAAATATCTTGTATTAATATTCTTTAAAATTTAATTTCTTCAAAAGAATATTTGTAAATAATTTGGTTTAAATCGATCTTAAGTCTTATAAATATATAAAAACGTATTTCTTAATACATTTAAATTTTGACAGGTTTATTTATTTTAATAATCTTGTTTTAAAACTTTTCAATTGAATCCTGAATACTGCTTCCTATAACCTTATCTATAATTATAATAAAAAACAATTATAATTGATACAGAGATAACTGCTGAATAATTATTTTATTAAATGCAAATAAATAAAAGATTACCTGTAAAGCATCAAAATGTAAAGTAATTATTCTTTTAGAGTAAACTTGTCCATCAACTTTATTTTCTTCCTCACTAATTTTTAATATCTGTTTTGCCATTTTGGATTTAGTTTTACCATTAACGGTCATCAAATAATGAAAATCCACAATATTCTTCATTTAATAACTCAATTTAAATACCACAAGTGGTTTATGCATTTTTTTTATTTTTTTTTTGCTACACACTACATTGCTAAACTGTTCACAAAACAACAATATGTGAAGGAAATATATTCCTTTTGCCATCCATCGAGCTAAATGGTAGGCATCAAGAGGATCAAAACTGTATTCCTTGGAGTGGCGATTTTCACAAAAATAAATAACAAGTTCTATACATTTTTTAGAGTCATCCCTTAGAAAACTTTCTTCGATTTTTTTGTGAAAAATAATAAAACATTATCTACTAAGTCTTTTAATACATCAAATAACTCAAGAATGATGTCAATATTATACAAAATGTATGTTTATCTAAAACCGAACAATATGCTTTACAGGTAATCCTTTATTTATTTGGATTTATTATATAATTATTCAATAGTTATCATTGTATCAATCATAATGATTATAGATTCTGAGTGGAGCGAAGCTTGTGGTTTTATAAAGATTTTTTTTTTTTATTATTATTTGTGCGCAATTTTCCACCAGAAGACTTGCTCAAATTTCTACATGTAGCACCTTTTCTGGAAGGAAATCGGTATGAAAAGGTACTTTAAGGAGATCGTTTTTCGATTTTTTCAAGAGTTTTCTCATCAAATTTGAAAAATCGAAAAAAAACGGGATAATATAAAAGAACTTTAGGTATTAGTTGAAATATATTACAGCCCTTTTTTTTCCTATGAACAACTTTTCTACCAGCAATTTTGCTCCAAATTTTAATGATAGCAATATTTGTAAAAAAAAACTTTACTAGCGAAGTACTTTAGAGGGGTCATTTTTTGATTTTCCAAATTTTTCCCAGCAAATGTGAAAAACCGGGATTAAACAATGGATAACCATGAAAAACGTGAATATGATTACAAAATTAAACAAATTTTACCAAAGAAAATATATTAAGCTAATTTAGTTTTTTTACTATGAAATAACATATATATATATATTGTTGACAAAGTATCACCATCAACTGAACTCCGCTCAGAATCATTTTTTCATAAACAATAGTTTATTGTTGCGTATCGTAATGTATTTTGGCTAAAGTTTTTACTTGTAGTACTTAAAAAATTGTTACGAGTACATATCCCACAATTTCGAAAAGTACAAAAATAAGAACCATCCTAATAAAGTATACATATATATATATATCTTTTTTATTTATTTATATATCAATTTTAAAATTACTAAAATGTGTTTTGGGCGAAACGACAACGGTCAAGTTTGGGTGAACGGAACGCGGCCATACTAACGGGGGGGAGGGGAGGGGGAACTATAAGTATTCATATATTTTTTTTTTTTTTTTTTGTTTTTT